CTGCAGCACTGAAGATAGCAAACAGAAGAGGACAGCATAAAAGAAGATACATGCCTTCCACCGCAGGACTCAGGGTAGAAGGGCTGGATCCTAAGAACGCTCATTCTCAGAAGCCAGCTCTGTTCATGGGGAGATTCTCAGGGAAGGCAGCAGAGCTCATTGCATATTAGAGGTATTCCAGAGCTAGCCTAAGATTACCATATTTCCAGTTTAAAAAAAGAGGACACCTGTTGGGGAGAGGGACAGTAGTATGATTCTGGGGAGCAGTGATATGCCAGTGCCCTGCCCCTCACTCCCAAGCCACAACACCCTAGCCCTGCTTCTGCCTTTCACTCCCAACCCACAGTACCCCACCCCCAGACCATGCTGGTGCCCCTCACTCCTGACACGCCAGACCCCTGACACTGCCAGCACCTCGCACTCCTGACCCTCAGTTCCCTGCCCCCCTGCTGCCCTTCACTCCCAAACCACAGCCTCCCCAGCACTGACAGTGCTTCTCACTCCCAACCCACAGCTCCCTGCTCCCCCAGCCCTGCAGCATCTGGCTGCCCTGCCCCTGGAGCAAGGGTTGGCCATGCAGCTGCCTGCTGCCCCTAAAAGGATCCAAAAAGAGGACATGTCTGGGAAAACCCAGACATATAGTAATCCTAGGCTGGCCCCTTAATCACATAACCTGGATCAGTGGGAGAAATACAGATGGAGTGGAGCAGGTGCTGGCAGGCGAATTCACTGCTGTGAAGAGCAGGTTGCAGTGGAGGGCCTGAGGCTTCTGGTAAAGCAACAGGCATTGGCAGCAGAGGCAGTCAGGGTGAAGGTGTCAAATGGAGAGCAGAGGAGGAGAGGCAGCAAGGGACTGGGAGGAGCATTAAATATGAGAGTGAAGTGAGGTCCTTGGTGGTGAGAGAGTGGCTGTGACCACATGTATGGGTTTGGGGGAGAGTGGGCACTTGCTTACCATATGGATCCTTGGGTTTCACTTATCACCCTCCTGCTGTGAGAAGAACAGCCAGGGCACCCATCAGTCTCCCCAGTGACTGGCCTGTTTGCTGGTGTATAGCCCTGACCCCAACCTCCCCTCCCTGCCTCCAACCTGCCTCTGTGACAGAGGCCTTGGGGTTTATCTCTGACCTCTCCAGGACGACTCCCTGCCAAGTCTCAGGAGCTGATGTCGTCCAAGCCTGCTTGGGTCAGTGGGGAGGCAGGCAGTTTCTGCTGCCTGTTGGGAGAAAACACTGCAGAGAGACCAGGAGAAAATGCCAGAGCAGAAAGGTGGGAAGGAGAGAGGGAGATGGTGAATTAGAGGAATTTCTGGGAGCAAACACCAAGTGGCAGTGATTAAGAAGAACAATAAACAGTCATTTGTCTTCTAAGCAAACCTTTCCTCTCCACAGGACTCTTATCTGTAGGAAAATTCCTCCTAGTTCCCGCTTTAGCCACAGAGTCAGTAGGTTCGTGACAGACAAATCATCTCTCCACTGGGGAAGGGCAGCAAGAAAGGGCAGCTGCAAGTCTAACTGCCCTGCTCACCATCCATCATGCAGCTACATACCTGTTGTGGTGATTACACTGTTTCCATTCAGAGCAGGCAGAAAAGCATTGAGGCCTAATGAGATGAAAGGCAAAGCCAGTGCATTTTAGAATCAGGACAAGACAGTTGGTTGCAGGGTGTATTTCACTGTGGAGCAGGGGTGGGTAAAATACAACATGCAGGCTGGATTTGGCACAGCTTCCTGGTGGCCGCACAGGTACTGCTCAGCTCCCCACCTCCACCCCCAAGGCAGAAGGTAGCATGGGGAAGCGGCAGTGGCCATGGCGATGCATATCGGACACTACATGCCCAGCCAGGTCGGGTGTGGGGGGAAGCTACAGCTGGGCGGCTCCTACCACAGTGTGCAGGGCTCCAGCTCCAGTTCCTGGCCACCTTCCACTCACTTGGCCATCTGGCATGAAGAGCAGCTACCTGTAGACAGTCAAGTGGGTGGAAGGCAGTCCCCTGGCTGGGAAGGTGTGCACACTGGCCAGGGCCAGGGCCAGGGCAGTGCTGTCAGCAGGTGCAGGGTGGATGTGGGTGGGAGCACAGTGCAGGCTGCATTGGTTGGATGCTGGCAGGGTTTGGCCCAATGTGGAGCACTGTGGAGACATCTGTGGGCCAGATGGGGGTGGGGGGGAACCATACCTTCACCACTCCACTCAGGCAAGCTCTTCTGTGCAAACCCCCTGCCCTCCCCTCATCCTTCCCTCCCCCTCTCCGCCTGCTCCTGGGACCTAGCACTGCAGCCAAAAAGGGACCTAGGAGTAATGATTGATCATCACATGAATATGAGCTGTTAGTGTGAGGCAGTGGTCAGCAGGGCAAATAACGCTGGCATGCATCAACCGATGCATCTTGTGTAAAACTAAGGAAGTGATACTCCCTCTGTACTCAGTACTGGTGAGACCACACTTGGAGTACTGCGTCCAGTTCTGGGCACCGCACTTCAATAAGGACGTGGAAAAACTTGAGAGGGTCCAGAAAAGAGCCACCCAAAGGAGTAGGGACTTGCAAGCCAAGCCATACAAAGAAAGGCTGAGGGACCTGGGCCTCTTTAGCCTAAAGAAGAGAAGGTTGAGAGGGGACTTGATAGCGGCTTATCGCTATATCAGAGGAGTGCATCAGGAGCTCTGTGAAGAACTGTTCACTAGGGCACCCCCGGGGAAGACCAAGACCAATGGATATAAACTCCTGGAAGGCCGCTTCAGGCTTAATACCAGGAAAAACTCCTTCACAGTCAGGGTGTCCAGACTATAGAATAAACTCCCTCCAGAGGTGGTGCAGTCGCCTACCCTGGAGGTTTTCAAGAGGAGACTAGACAGTCACCTTGCTGGGTTCATTTGACCCCCAGTTGTCTTCCTGCCTAGAGCAGTGGGGCTGGACCCGATGATCTGCAAGGTCCCTTCCAGCCCCTAACAATCTATGAATCTATGAACAGCCCCCCCACACACATGCACCCCCCCCACATCCCTTCACACACCACACATTCACACCCCCACACTCACTCCCACTTCTCCGCACACACAATATACAAGAGTAAGACTTTATTTTGAGATATTATGTAATTGCCTCTATATACACTATTAAAAAAACATAAATCAGGACTAAAAATATTTTTAAATATTTTAAAATGTTACAGTAGATGTTTGATTTTTAGTCTATTGTTTGTTTGTTTTTATCTATAATTAGTTAAAATGATACCTTCTGAAAGATTTTGTGTGTGTGGCCCTTGATAACCCTCCCAAACTTGTTAAGTGGCCCTCCAGTCAAAATAATTGCCCACCCCTGCCCTGGAGGGACAGAGGGGCCTCAGCTTAACCAGCTCCTTTCAAACCCTGGAGGAGCCAGAAACATGCAGGCTCACACACTGATAATGGCACAAATGATTGTGTATTCACTAATGAGGGATCTGTGCAGCTAGCAGGGCTGCATGCTAACACAGGGCGCCCTGTGGGACAGTGCACGTGGATTAGGTGTAACTGTCACGGACTTCAAACAATAGCCTGCTGGTAGGGAGGGAGAGCCCAGGTTACATGGCTTGATGCATAAGGTTCTCTGGGGTGCACCATGTAGGTCAGGCCACAAGATCACAGTGGGTGACAGGTGGCTGACACAGACCAAAACTTCATCCCATGGCTGATCCTGTGCACACGGCTTGGGCAGTCTGTGGGGCTACAGGAGAACAGGAGAGTCACTGGGCAGGTAACTAGAGTGATAAATACCCAGCAATATCATGAACAAAGCTGTTAGAAGATTTCCTGTCTTAGTGGCACTAAATCGGAATGACATCCCCAAGGCATAAAATCTAGGTAGCCCAGGGCCTGTTCTGTTGGAAGAACGGATTCAAAACATAAGGTTTGGATTGTTGTGAGTGCAATGAAGCCAGAATGCATCCATGCTGAGTTGGTCTTAGGGGTGGGTAGCATGGGCAACTGCCCAGGGCGCTGTGGTCAGGGGGGTGCCACACACATGCCCTGCCCTACTTCTCTGCTTGTGCCAGGCAGGAGCCATCATGGGATTTGGGATCTTGAAGAGAAAAAATGGAGGACATAAAGGCATCCGGTTTCGTATCAAGAGAGAACAGAGTAGCAGAAAACCAGAATGTCTTCTATGATGGCCCCCCTAGCTGTACAGCAGGGCCTGCTTCCCCTTGCCACATCCAGAGCTGATTGGAGCTGCTGGCCCAGGGCAGTGGGATTAAAACCCCCCTGGGTAGTGGCAGTGGTGAGCACTGCCTGGCAGCAAGATGGGCCAGGAGGAGGGTGATGAGAGCTGGGTTAAAGACAGGTACCCAGCAAGAAGACACTGTGTCTGTTTGGCCCTGGTATGCATGCCGAAGCCTTCACCATCACTGACCTGCTGGGGCTGAAGGCCAAAGTGCAGCCACCCACAACTACTAAGGATGCGAGTGTGGGTGGCTGGTGGGCTCAGATCAGGTGTAGTGCCTGTTCTTAACCTGGCAGAGGAAATACCATGTATCTGTGTCCATAAAGGCAGTTTTCCTAAAGCGCACCTGGGAAGAACTACTCTTCTGGCATGGTTCAGTAGCCACCGAGGTGTAGCAGCTCTAAGTCCACTTTGTGGAAATGGGAGTCTCCTCCCTAGCTTGCTCCAAGGGCCTTATAGCTAAGGGCAAACAAAAAAAAAGTAGGATGCCCACCAAAGGATTTGGAAACATCTGAAGGCCCAGGTGAGGGTGGAGGATGTTTGCAAGTAGTAGGGCCACTTATGGTTCTGGACTCTTGGATGTGGAATTAGTTTTGGCTAATTTGACCTGGGATAGATATATATAAGTGGCATTCTGCCACTGGAGCTGGGCTTCCTGTGCGGACAGCCCTGCCTGCCACCCCACCCCATGCCAAGCCCACCCTCTCACCCCCTACACACCGCCCACACATTCAATGCCAGTGACTTTGGGGGATACTGCATGGTGGAGGGGGTGGGCACCAGGGCAGGGAGGCATGAGGGAGAAGGGGTACCGAAATACAAGTTTGCCCAGTATACCATTTTCTAAGGCCAGCTCTGCATCCATGTCCAGGAGGGACTGTTGGATCTGATGCTAAAGTGCTGTTTAGTTCTGGAGAAATGTTGCATTCTGCTCTGTTCCCTGAGGGACTGTCAGTACTGGAGGTTCTCCCTCCCCTGGTACCTAGGAGTTTGGCACAGTATGGAGTGTGGACATGTTGCTGTAAAGGTGTCTTGCTACAGCTCCTCAGGATGTGGATTCAAGCGCTGCTCTGGGCTCATGCCAAAGGCTGTCCCCAATTGATCCAGATAACTAGGACCAGGCCATTCAGGCTGAGGTCAAAGGCAGCTGGATATGTTGCTAGTCACACCCTTCCCTTGTGTGCTGTTTACTGTAGAAACTGGTATGAGTTACTAAGGCAGCCGGATGGGCTCAAATGGACTTTCCTTCTGACAACTGTGGTCAATGCCTAGTGAGAAATGCCAGTCAGAGACTTGGAATACTTCCTATCTCAAATGCCCTGTTTCCAGATCAGCTGAGCTGGTGATTTGTGCTCAGTGTGCTTTTGCCACAGCATGCAGTTCCCACCTGGGTAGAGCCAGCATGAAGCCACATCACCTTTTCTGTTCTCTACTCTACTCTACTCACAGGGGAGTGGAGGAGATGCCCTGCTCTGCCCCTGGCTTGGATGCCAAAGAGTGAGGGAGAGCCATTGCCAGAACATTTCAGCTGGGTGAAGGGACATGGTGGGCTGGACAGATGCCCTCCTACAGCCCAGTGCCAGAAAGTGAAAGCCAACGGCTATGCACAGAGAGGCTGGCATCAAAGGGCTGTGCAGGATGGCTGCCCCCAGTCCAGTCCAGCCCTGTGGTGTGCCCTTCTGCCAGCCATTCCCCAGAGCTTGTGGAGCATGGTATATGGAGAACTCCAGCAACACCTGGCAGCAGAGGAATCTCAGATGCTGTTTATGAGTGATAAACGCTTGTTCTCCTTTTCCCCCTCCCCCCACAAACCGCTTTGTGCTGTGTACTGGATACCGCTCTGAGAGTGAAGGGCCAGTGTCTCTATTTGCAAAGCTGACGAGGCTGCGTTGCTATTCAGCTTTGCCCTGCATTAGCTGGCCTGCAGTGTTAGTACCCAGTGAGCATCCCTGTGCCCAGGGCATTGGGAGCTAAGCCACACTGGGCCACTTGCACATTCTGGCTTGCTTGTCCCACTCCTGGCCCAGCTGCTTGAAGTCCCCCCAGACACCTTTCTGAATCCCACATCTTTGCAGGGTATAGCCTCAGTGTAGGCCCCTGCAGTAACAGAGTGCCTTTTGTGGGGTCATTGGAGCAGGTGCAGGACTGCCTGGAGACTGCTGCTTGCTAGCTAGGTCTGTGCCCACCTCCCCTGGGGCTGTCGCACACAGCACAGTTAGCCAGAGTGCCCTGAGAAGCTGGTGATTGCAGGCACAGATGTGTCACTACCATGCTCAAGTCACTGTGTAACTGCTGGAATCCAGACCCGCTATAGGCCAGGGGCAGGCAGGGCCTTTGCTGGTAGGATTTTGCAGGGTTGTGGGTCAGGTTCACTTCTCTCAAAGTGCAAAGAAGTGAATGGAATAGAGCATCCCCCCAAGAAGGACAGGGAAATGAGGCCCCCCCCCCCCCCCCCCGGTGCTTCCCAGGGTTGGGTTGTGCAGGGTATGTGCTACCACTATCTCTGTGGATGCCCTGGGAGGGGATGCTCTGGGAACATTCACTAGGCTGCTACTCACTGGACCCTCCTTCCCTCCCCCACCACAGGCTGCAGCTGCACCCTCACACAGATTGTGCTGGGCCCTAGCACACAGGCAGCAGAGCTGCCAGGGCCCATCTCCCGTTGCTCTTGGGATTGATGTGATCATCCCAAATTGAGCCAGAGAGGGACCTGCCTCCCCCTGCGATGGACTACACTTTACAGGCCAGCTGGCTCTCCAAGTCTGCTGGGAAGTGCAGAAAGGCCAAAGACAGCTAGACCTAGCCTGGCTTCTAGGGAGAGGCCAAGAAAAGGTGGCATTAAGTATATGGGCCTGAGTGGCAGGATGGTGGTAGTATATGACTGGGAAAGGAGGGAGTAGAAAGTTCAGGGTGGGGAGAGATGAAGAACTCTGGTAGCCAGACATGATCCCAGCAGGCCCAGGGCAAAGCAGCATGCACAGGGTCCCCCTCCCCATCCCACGGCACACTTACGCCAGGAAGCAAAAGCCCCAGCACAACGGACACGGCGGGACATTGCAGCCAGAACTTCCGGCCGGAACAAGCAAAGAGCCGTCCGACCCACCTGGCAAGTGGGTGGGCTAAATTGCAGCTGCGGCCACTCCATTCACCTCTGTGGGGCCCCCAAAGCACAGGGCCCAGGGAGGTTGCTCCGATTCGCCCCCCACTAGGGACAGCCTTAGGTATAGCTGATTGCTAGGCACCCTCTGGGAGATGCTAGAGGCTGTTTAAGAACTTTGCTTTGTCCAGAGCAGATGGAGTCTCTGCAAGGCAACAGAAGAAACAAGGGAGCTGCATTTGTGTTCAGGGGTGAGATCAGCCTAAGGTAAGAGAAGGGGGCCAAGGCTGGACCCCTGTGAGCTCTTTGCAGAGGAAGGGAGAGCTGAGATGGGAAGGCTGCTTGGCAGGAGAATGGTCATGGATGCACAAAAAGGGCAATATTCCAAGAGCAGCTGGGTTGAAGGCAGCTGCAGGGCAGGGAAGATGGGAGTGTGGTCTGAGAACAGGCCCACAGGGACCAGCCCTGGCAGGATCAGCCTCAGCTGAGTGCAAAGGCCAGAAACCTCATGGGAGCAGGTCTGGAAGGGAGTCAGAGGAAAGAACTCCAGGCAGGGGTGGCAGACAGTATGTTCAATGTGCTGAGAGATGAAAGGGAGATCGGGGCTGATGGAAGGCCAAAGGGGTCAAGACACTCCAGCATGCTTAACTTGTGAGAAGGAGCCAGAGAAAAGGGGGAGAGTACAGAAAAGAACATGGTGGGGGTGGGGGAGCAGGGGGAAGGTATGAGCATTAAAGGGATAGGCAGGATATAGAGAAGAGGGGCCACATGGAGGGATGAGAGTGGAGGGGAAACTTTTGTGCTTGTGCTTGGGGGGAGGGAGGGAGGGCAGTGGAGCAGGGCATGACAAACTCTGGAGTTGCTTTGAGGTAAACCAAGTTCCAGGGCCTCTCTCCACTGCCCCACTGCAAATCCTTGGGGCTTTGATCAGATCTTGCTCCTGGGAGACTCCTCTTTGCCTAGCAAGTCTCAGTCTCTGAAGCACCCTGACCAGTGAGAGCAAGTGCAAGATCCAGATGCTGGAGTGACTCTGGGCTTGGGCCAACAAGAGGGACCTGGAAATGGGAAGGAGAGAGAGGAGCATGGAACATGGAGGTAAGCAACCAGTTCATCCAGGGAGGAGAGGGCTACAAAGTGTTGGAAGCCACTGCTGCTGAGTAGTGGATGTCCTGGGGAAGCGGAATTTCAGGGTATGGGGAGGAAGCCACAGGCCATGCTGGGAGACCATGGGGTGGCACAGGGGGACTCAGCAACAGAGAATGCACTTGGTGTAACCTGAGTCCCAACCATGGCAAACTGGCCCAGGACTGTTGAGGTAAGGAGTGGATGAGCTACTGGCTGGTCAGCTAGGCTTCAGCATGGAGGGTGAAGGGAGCAGACCTGAGTGAGGTGAGCACAGAGAAGCAGAGAACGCATCAGGCATCACCATGAGCGTGGGGGGCTGGCAGGCAGGACTAAGGGTCAGACTGATTGCCACATTTAGGATCAGAAAGGAAATTTTCCCCTAGGTCAGACTGGTATGGGCTGTGAGGTTTTGCCGCCTCTAGTCTTGAGTGAATTTAACAATTATGTCCTGTCTTTGCAGTAGTAGGACACTGACAGTGCCCTTGTATCCCTGCTTTACCTGTGGCAGGTTGGGGTGTTCTTGGTGTTTTTGGGCACTGTGTCTGGTCATTGTGTTGGTTGCACAGATTTAAGACTAGGTTAGACAGACCGTTATCTGGGGTGGCATAGTCAAGCATGCTCCTGCATCAGGCAGGGGCCTGAACTAGATGTGATCTCCTGAGGGTCCTTCCAACCCCATTTTTCTATGCTGCATTGCTTGGAAGGCAGGTACAAGCTGCTTTAGCAAGAAGCAGAGATGGGGAAGGAGGAGGCTTGGAAGCATCAGGAGCAGCAGAAGAGAAGCCCAAAGCCTCCACCCAGGAAAAAAAGCTGAGGAGAGGCCTCCCTGCAAGAGGGCATCCTCAGATGTAGGACTCCAGGGCTGGGGACAGCTCAGGGGCAGGGGAAGTAGTGAAGGCATTACAGGTGACTGTGAACTTCCTAGAGCTGAAGGAAATGTTCCAGAGACAGCAAGAGAAGGGGCTGAGGGAAGTGTGGGTATGACTCTTGGAATGGGAGACACTACAAGGGCAGAGGTGAAGGGGGATGGGTGCAAGAGGTGAGCAGGTCTGTGCTTGTGGGAGCAGGGCTGTGGGGGGGTGGCAGGCAAGGAGGGTGCAGGTATGGGATCTGGATTCATGCTGCTGTTGGTAGGGCAGAGAGCAGGATGTGCTGGGTGGGGAATGTACAAGGTGGCAGTTCCTATACCAGGTGGGGAGGGAGGGCAGGGGATGGCATAAGATAGGGGGGACCAGCTTCCAGGGAATGGATCCTGGTCAGTGGGAGCTGTCCCCTTAAAGAGCAAGGCACTTGCATTAGGGTTGTTGTGTGTAGACATATGCACATGTGAACACAGGGCTGAACTTGCCTGTGTTAGCCACAGACAGGCCCAGCTGGTTGGCTTCACTACCTGCCTTGGTAGACAAAGTATGAGGTTGCTGGATGTCACTGGGTGGCACAAGGCAGAAAGGTATGCTAGCAGCTGTAGGGGACTAGTGTGTCACACATCAAGAATGCAAAACTTGCTCCCTTTTAATGGCTTTTTTGCCCCTGATACATGAGGAGCTTAGAGGCTTCAGCTCCATGCTATACAGTTGTCTTATTGTGAGGGTCTTCTCCAATGGGCAACCTCAGCAGAGACACTGAGGGCTGCCCTTAGGGAGAGCCTCCCTGTGGTAAGAGTGAACCAGCCAGCAGGGCAGGGTATGCAGGGGGGATGCTGTGCTGACAAACCAAGAACCCCCTGCACAGAGCTATATGCACTCATGCTCCACTCATGGATTACAGCTAGGCTCTTACTCTACAATTGCAAAAAATATTCTATGAAGCTGCACAGCACTGGCTGCTGGGAGAAGTGCACACATAGCACCTGCCCCTGGAGGGTGGGAGTGCCTGACTAGGGCCAGGAGATAGCAGCTGCAGCCGGAAGAGTGTTGGGAGTGGAGCTGGGGGAGCAGGGGCTGACTGCTGGGACCTGCTGTGAAGTCTTGTCGCAACTGCATGCAGTAGCAGGTGCCTGTAAGCGTGCTCAGGGGCAGCAGCCATAGCCCTTCCCAAACACCTCCTGGGGAAGGCAGGATGGGGCCAAAGAGCAACAATTATTTTGCCTCAAGCTGCAAGCAGCTGCTTGCAGCTATGGTGCAATCTGCTGTGCTCAGGCAGGGCAGAGATGGCTGGACTCAGCACACCACCCCAAAGCCAGAGTGGCCTTTAGAAACCCATCAGACAGGTTGGCAGGAGGGTACTGGGTTGGGTGCAGGTTAGCCTCTTGTGGCACACATGCTTGGCACTATACACATAGACATGAGGCCACAGAAGGCCTGTTGCCAGGCAGCTCGGGCACCACAAATGGGTCAGGAGGCTGCACAGGGGAGTCAGGGCCTGTGTCCTCTGGCTTTTAAGTAAGTGTCTATGCCTCCCAGTTGTGACCAGTTCTTCCATGGCCCAAGCAGGATGAATGCAGTGGCATCCATTGTACGGACTGGCAGCCTGAACCATGCCTCAGCATAACTGCTCCCACCACTGCCACTCCTGTTAACATTGCAGGTGTTAGTGCTCACAGGTGAATGGCAAGCATTCATTTTTCCAGTGTGGACCCTTTCAGCAGGCAGCAAAGCCACCAGGGAATGGCCAGCAGGGCAGCCTGCTCATCTGACCACACTTGGGAAAGAAATGCAAAGGGTCAAGGGAGGGCCAGGGGAAGAACAGACACAAGAGGCAGAGACAGCAAGACCAAGGGGCATCGGATGCCCACACCATGTGCTTCCAGCTACGTCTGCCAAGGTAGCAAACAGGAGCAGAGCTCCCTGTTACTCACCATGCAGGCCCCACAGGGTAGGCTTAAGGCAGCAGGCTGAAAGGCATCAGTCAGATGCTTCCCTGCCAGCAGCAAGTCAGCCCATGGAACAACTGTCATGTTCAAACCACCCCCCTGCCACACTTGGCAGTTTTCAGGGCAGGCATATTACTCATCTTGTTTGCAGGTAAGGACCAACCAAGGCTGGCAACTGGGGTACTTGTTCTGGGCACAGACAGGCTCTGCACCCAAAAGCTGACTGGAGCCATGTGGCCAGGAAGACAGACCTCCCCAGAGTGAGCAAGTCCAGAGACAGTGGGCCTCTTTGCTTTTACTAAGGAGGGGGCTTACTTCAAGAGCAGATGAAAGGAAGGACGGAAGCCAGCAAAGGGAAGGGAAGAACAACCAGCCAGTTTGTGCTGGGCAAGAAGAGGCCAGAGGCAATCAGCAGCAGCAGCTGGCACTGTGGCTGTTCCTGTCATTCATTTCAGTTGTGAGAATCTCTTGCCAGCTCCAAGCTTCAGTGCCATGGCCCAGGGAGGAGTCTCTCTTGGCCAGTTGGGGCAGCCTTAGTCAGGCCTAGGTCTTAAATTTCCTCTGTAACTGCTCCAGGAAGGCTGGAGCCTCAATCTATAGCTTCAGTGATGAAGCCTTTGAGGGCAGCAGGCTGTGCCTAGCAACAGTGGTGATTGGGCCCCAACCTCATGCCCGCTGCCAGTTAAGCAGGAAAGCAGCACTTGTATGCCTTGGTGCCCTGTGACAGAATCTCTGACCCACAGGTACCAGCAGGAAGTGGGGCAAAATGCTGCAGTGACATTTTGGCAGAAGAGCTCTGCATCTCAATGGACTTTACAAATGGCAATGCCTTGCTGCACCGGATGTTGAGCTGGGCACAGAGAGGGGATGGTGCAGGTTAGCCTCAGTTGCTGGCCTGGGGTTACACTGACCTGTGCCCCACACTGGGGCCTGTTGGCTCCCTCCAGCCTGCACCCTCCTTGCTCTACTGGGTACACAGAGATGGTGAAGCTCAGTGTCTCTGGGACACGTGGCAGAGTAGTGACCCCCTGGCTTTCCAGAGCAACCATGCAGCAGCTGCTAGCATGGTCCCGTGCCTGCTGGAACTAAACAATGGTGGGATGCGAGGGCTAGGGTGGTGCTCACCATCTGGTTTCCTCTCTCATCCAGCTCTGCCTCAGCTGGGAGCAAGAGACAGGAGCAGGGCAGGCCATATCACTGGCTCCCTGCATAAGGATGTAGCCCTCAGCCCTAGTGGCTCCCAGGCCATCAGTGGCAGAGGCTAAGGCCAAAACACTGCCTGTGAACACAGACGCCACTTGGGGCTGGTGGCAGGACCAACTCCCCTCCCAGCACCTCCCCAGCAGGCACCTGCCTCCCATTTTGCCTAGACCCAGACAAGCCAGATTAGGAGCATCACAGCCTGGGCTAGGCCTAGCTACAGGTGCCTTCATAGCAGAGAAAGCAGCCAATACCTGCATGAAAGTAGAAACAGGCTTTATTCAGCACAAAAATATCTCCCGTCTCACACGCTCCGTAGAAAATCTCACGGCTTCCAAAATAGACGTCTGGGTTTTGCAACCACTTAAAAATGCAGCTACCGAAGGATGAGAATTTGAAGTGAAGAGGGGAGGGGTGGGGGCCTGGCTTAATACTACAGCCTCACAGGACTCTGCTCTGCCTCCCACTGTGAGGAGCCCAGCCCTGCCTTGGGGGCTGCAGGTACATGCTTGGCTGAGAAGCATGCTTAGCTGAGGAGCTCGCAGGAAGCGTCTCCAGGTCACTGCACATTTGTGCAAGAGCCAGTTGCACATGCAAGTCAGCAGGCTGAAGGCCTCAGGATCTGGAGCAGAGGGGAGACAATGTGTGCTCAGCTGCTGCCCAGTTTACACCTGCAACCCAGGGAGCATGAGCCCAAGAACCTGCTAGACTTAGCAGTGCAGACCTCTTCCCCACCAGGTTCACATCATCATAGCCGTTAGCACAGCTGCAGCTCTAGCACAATTAAAAAACACTTGTCCACCAGCAACAGTCCAAACCCCCACATGGGGCTGGTATTTCAGTCACCAGAGGGACCCCCCTCAGCCCTTCCTACAGGGTGACCTGCTGCCTTAGCACATGATGCACAGGGGCTGCACAGTTTCTGAACTCCTAGGTGCAGACAGCCAGCAGGACAGAGAAAGCACATGGCAACATGGGCACCTGGCTCTGGTGACTTGGAGGCTGCCTTGGGCTTTGCCTTCCCCCCCCCCAAGACTGCCCCAAGCGAGCTACCAGAGCAGCACATCCCCATCAGGGCAGATTTGTAACAGCTCTACCAGGGCACAAGGGAACCAGTGGGCATTGTGTCCTCTGTGCCCAAAACACTGTCCAGATGATGGTGCCTGGCTGAAGTCCTAAAGCCAGGTCTTGTGTACTTCTCCCTCCCCTGCATACACTTGGCAATGAGTTCCATCAGCAGCTGCCTGTACTTTGTTTTGAGGTGCAAAGGCCAAAGATGCCAAGTCCTGGAGGTTTGGTGGCTGCACAAAGGGCATTTTTAGGTCAAAGTCTCCAGAATTCAAGTTAGGCCATTTTTGGAGTTCATTACCCTCCACAGCACTGGCACAGGCAGTGAGGGCCTGGCTGAGTAACCCACTGGCAGAGCCAGGGCACAGGGAACTTGGGAGACAATGAGTAGGGGTGGGTGAAGGAGGTGGCTCAGATTGCCAGGCTGCCCTGCTGGCAGTACCCATTGCACCCACAGCCGCCAGAGCCCTGGAACACAGCATGGCCTGTGCAGCAGCCCAGCTAGAAACACTCTGGCCTGGCCTTTCCCCTTGGCTGATGGTGGCCAAGCTGAGCCAGGTCTGAATTTACACTAGTCCCTAGGAATCCTCACCATCTCTCCATCCCTGCATGCTGCCCCAGGAGCTGGGCATTGAGCCCCATCAGCTCTCCACCTGGGCCATGTCCCAAGAGGAACAGCAGGTCCAGCTGCAACCTCTGGTTCCAGCAATTTTATTTCTCCCAGTGCAGCTGGTTTCAGCCCCTCCCCTGCCTGCTGGGCCCTGGCTCTTGCTATGTGGGAGGCATTCAGGCCCTGGCTTTTGCTATGTGGGCCACAGGGACATCAGGTGGTCAGAAGTTGGGCACCCCAGCCAGGCATGAAGCAGAACCAGTGAGATCCAAGTGGGAGCAAGTTCATGCTGGAGGCTGCCACTTTCCCCAGAGCAGAGACAGAGTACTGGAGTTGCTGTGTTCCTAAGGAGCCCGCTCCCTCTGCCTGTAACTCCCTCCTTACCCCTCCCCTATGGGGGCCCATCTCCAGGGCAGCTGAACTGGGCTAGAGCTATGTTTCCCTGCAGCATTATGGCAGGAGCTGGCTTCCTGCAGACAATGGCATAAACTCCTTAGGGAGCTTGACCAAAGCTCTATGCCACATCCCCCACCCTCAGAGCACAGGACCCATGGGGAACAGGCTGAGGCTCCCTGGCTCTCTGTGTCCGACTAGCGTTCGAGGTTTTTGTCCTAAGTTTGTGCAGTGGGCAACTGCCCTGTGTCCAAAGAGAACTGCATCCTTACTGCTTCCTGGGAACTGTCTTTGCCACACACTTGCCCACACCCTCTGCCCTGGGTGCAAGGATGCTCAGCCTCTGCTTTCAGCTTTCCAGCAGGCACCCTCTGTGAGCCACCCACGTGAAGTGACAGGGAAGAGCAGGCATGGGAAAAGGGGCTCAGCAGCCTGCCAGGCCCCACAGTGCAGGCAGAGAGGAGTTGTGGCTCTGTGCAAGCTGCTCCTGAGCAGCTGCAGCAGGGTGGTGCCAGCTGTTTGGCCATCAGAGCAGATCCTGGCCACAGGACACAGAAGAGGCTGACCCAGCAAAGTGTCTTCCCAGGCTAGCCCCCCACAAGCACATGGATACAGCCTGTTCTGAGGTGCCTGTACTGTGTAACAAGGACCAGGTGACCTGCCTGACTGGACATCTAAGGCTGTGAAATTGAGGGATGTGTCTCCCTTAGCCAATGGGATTCAAAGGCAGCCCAGCAGCTGAACCAGACCTTGGGAGCTCTGCTTTGCAAGGTCATGGCTTGGAGACATATGGCAGTGGCAGTGCAAAGCAGGCCCATAGCCAAGTCCTGGGTAGAAGAGGTACAGCACAGAGGTGACCCAGAGGCAGCAGAGGCTGCAGATTGGTTCACAACACCCTGGCTTTGCTTTCCAAAGCCCAGCAAAGAGGGGCTGCAATGGGCTGGGCTGCTGCAGGGTGTTACTGTCCGTAGCCTAGTGGTGCTCTCCAAAGCTCTAGGTTGCTCTGCCTGGCTCTCTCATACACCAGTGTTCTCCAGCCTGACATCAGCACAGAGGAGGCATATGGGAACTTACTGATATCTGATCCCTTGGGGCAAACAGAGAACGGCGGTGGGTAGTAAGGCCCAGAAGGCACAGAGGAAAGAAAACCATTAAAAAACAGGAATACAGCTATGAACAAAAGAGTCAGGGGCTGGGTTTCTGTGCCAAGTAACCTCTGGACACAGCAGCCTGCAGGGACTGGTTCCCTCCATCACTTCCAAGGAAACAGGACTTCAATCTCAGAGCACTGGGGACACCAGGACGCCGGCAAGCATTTCCAATGGGTAGTGCCACCGGAGTGTCACGTCTGTGCCAGGGACAGCTCTTCCAGGCCCTCTTTGCCTAGTCTATATCTAGCGAGATCCTTCCTGGTTACCATCCCGACCACCTGCAGAAAGGAAGCCACAAAGATGCCTAAGAGCCACAGCTAGCTTGGCACTGTCAGACCTTCAGAGAGGCACAGCAGCATAGAGCCCACAGCAGAGCTTAGTCTTGCCCACCATGCACTCACCTCATTGCGATTGTCCACTACCACCAAGTGCCGCAGGCCCAGGGCCCGAAACAGCTTGAACACTCTCGGAAGAGACGCCTCCTGCAATTCACAGTAAAGCCTGGCAGTCAGAACATCCTGAGGTAGTGCGAGCGGGGAATGCTGGTGCCATCAGGGAGGATGATCAGGGAGCAAAGACCCCAGTGTGCCTAGATCTTGGGT